CAAGAACAAAGGAAAAATAACAACAATCTTTCACAGAGATGCTTCATTATCATTCTTTTTTTAAATTAAAATTTGATTTCTAATGAGAAAAAAATATGTCCTCCCCCCCCCTTTCTGTCCATTCCCCACCCCTGGTTGAAAAAGAAAGAAAAACAAAACCCTTGTTAAAAACATGTATATTCAAACAAGATAAATTTCTATATTGATCGTGTCCAAAAGGACATCTCCTTTTGCACTCTGAGTCTTTCATTTCTCTATCAGGAGGTGAGTGTGATGTTTCAGTGTTCTGGAAATGTGGTTGGTCATTATGCTGATCAAAGTTCCTAGGTCTTTAAATGTTATTTGACTTTATAGTAGTATTATCATTGTATAATTTGTACTCCTGGTTATGCTTACTTCACTCTGTATCAGTTCTTGCAAATCTTCCCAGGTTTCTCTGAAACCATCCCCTTCATCATTTCTTATAGCACAAAGCATTCTATCACATTGATATACTATAACTTGTTCAGCCATTCCCCAGTTGATGGGCATCCCCTTAGTTTCCAGTTCTTTGCCACCACAAAGAGAGAGTGCTATAAACATTTGTTTTTACATCCTTCATTAGAGTTTGTTTTGCTTGGGACTAATTCTTCCCTTAATCTACCCTATTTGTAATTTATCCTTCTCCCTTCTCTTTCCCTACTATTTCCCTGTGGAGTGAGATGTATTTCCATAGCCAATTCAGTGTGTGTATATGTCTATGTTTATGTGTTCTTCTCTCCTTTCACCAGTTCAGATGAGGGTGATGTCTAAGTGTCACCTGCTCCCTTCAATTCCTCCTCCTTATTTAGATAGCCTTCCACTTGTGTACTCAAATTATATGAGATATTTTCCTTAACCTTCCTTGCCTTTCCTACCTCCTCCCTTCCTTGAGTATTCCTCTTCCCCACTCCTTTCCATTCTACTTTTAAGATTATTAAGATATAACACGTCTACTCCAAGGCAATATAATTAGAATCCATCTATAACATTGAATGATAGAAGTTGAGAGAAAATACATATATCATGTTCTCATATTAGAATGTTAGTGGTTTATTCTTGTTGAGTTCATTATGATGGTTCATGTATGTTTACCTTTTTAGGTTTCTCTTGATCCCGGGGTTTGATCTTCAAAGTTTCTGTGTAGCTTTATCTTTTTGACAGGAATGCTTGGAATTCTTCTACTTCTTTAAAGGTTTTTTTTCCTTCTTTTTTAGCATTACATGCAATTTTTCTAGGTAAGTTATTATTGGTTGTAAGCCTATAACTGTTGTCTTCTGGAATATTGTATTCCAAGCTCTCCACTCCAAACTAGTGGGAGCTTCTAAATTGTGTGTGATCCTAACTGTGACTTCTCAGCACTTAAATTCTTTCTTTCTAGCTACTGGCAGTATTTTTTCTTTGACCTGAAAGATCTGGATTTGGGGGGTTTCTTTCAGAAAGTGGCTTTCCACTTTACCCTTTGGTTCTTAGAAATTTGGGCAATTTTCTTTTCAGATTTCTTGATACAATGTTTAGGTTCTTTTATTTCATCATGGCTTTCAGGTATTTAAATGATCCTTAAATTTTCTCTCCTCAATCTTTTTCAGGTCATTTTTTTTCTATGAAGTGATATCTTAAATTTTAAATCATTATTAAATTTTGTATTTTTCAGTCTTTTGACTTTATTTTAGGTTTTTTTTTTGTCTCATAAAGTCATTAGCTTCTATTTGGTCCATTCTGATTTTCAAAAAATTTGTTGCTTTGGGAAAGTTTTGTACATCTTGTGCCAGGTTGTTAATCCCTTGTCAATTCTTTCTTTTATGTTTCTCATTTCTTTTTCATTTTTCATCTAGACTCATATTTAGTTTATAAAAACAATTTTTAACTTAAAAAAACTTATTTTATTTCTTCCAAGAATTCAAGTTGAATTTGTGTCCAAGCTATGTTTTTCTTTGGGGCTTTGCTTATAGATGTTTTGGAGCCATTCTCTTATTCTGGGTTTGTGTATTGAGTGTCCCTGTCACTATAACAAGTTTTTATTGTGGAATTGTTGTTGTTATTGTTCATTCTTTCACTCTACTACCTTACTTCAGATGTTATATTATAGCTGAGCTCTGTGCACTTCTGGAAAGAATGTCTGGGCAGGTCCTGCTGCTACTTTCTTGATGTATTGAGAGTTGTGTTATTCCAGGACCTCAGAGACAGCTCATTCTAGGAATTTGCAAGCTTTCAGTGCTCCCAAAGTGATCTGATCCAGGGCAGTTCTCAACACTGCCCCCTTTGTCTGAGCTCTTCAAGTTCCTAATCTTGTGGGAAGCCTCCTTTGAGGCTGCAGTAGCCTGCTGCTGGTTTCAGTGACAGTTAGCCAGCTGGAAAGCTCTGCTGGTCCAGAGTGACAGAACTGTAGGCTCTCCTTTGCTCTGCTATTCTTGCCCTGGTTATTCCTGTGCAGGCTTTAGACTGAGCTGGAAATTGGACCTGAGACCCTGTTCCTTTCTTGAGAGCCAGAGCCATACAGCTACTGTTTACTTTTGAACTTGTTCCTTATTCACTCCGTACATAGCCTAGGGCATGCAACCTCTCCTTGCCTTGAAATGCCACCCCTAGGCACCTGTTCTCTTCTCAGTCTGCCATGAACCTGTGACCTGGAACTGAATACTGAACAACAAAGTTGGTGATTGGCCTGTGTTCTCACACCTTACGAGAGGTTGAGGTGCCCCATATGGGTCTTACTCTGGGGCACCACTCTGGTCCTCTTTCAGTGCCTGGGATCTGGAATGTTCCATGTAGTGTGATCTTGGCCAGAATGTCTACAGACTCTCTCTGTCTCTGTCTCTCTCTTTCTCCATTCTTCTCCACTCCTCCCCTCTCTCTCTCTCTCTGCTAATCTGGGCCAGAAAAAAATGACTCACTGTGACTTTTTCTTGAATTTTCCTACTTGTATTTGGTGTTTTCTAGATCTTGTTTGGAGGGAAAGCTTTTTTTTTCCAGGTGGAGAGAAGAGAAGGGAACTCAATGTATTTCTTCCTGCTACTCTGCCATCTTGTGTCCACCTCTGCACCATCCTCACTGATATTCTCAAAACCCAGGTCCTCTACTCCAGAAATTTCAGTAGTTTTCTCTTGCCTCTAGAATGAAATCAAAATTTCTCTTTTGGCAGCCCTATGACAAGTTGACTCCAAGCTATATTTCAATAATGTGTTGATTACTCGTTACTCCCTGTCCCACTCACTATATTCCAGCACGATTGGCATTTACAACATTTTTCTGCACTGTCATAAAGGCTTTTTCTCAGGCCTTGAATGCGCTCTCTCTCTCTCTCTCTCTCTCTCTCTCTCTCTCTCTCTCTCTCTTCTCCTTGATTCCCACTCTCATAACCCTTAGCTTCCTTCAAGGTTCAACTCAAGTGCTACTACCTAGAATAGGCCTTTTTCTATTCCTCCAGTTATTAATGCTCTCCCACAAGTTACTTTTTAAAAATGTTATTAGACACTTACTAGCTGAATGACCCTGGGCAAGTCACATAACCCTGTTTGCCTCAGTTCCTCCTCTAGAAATGAGCTGGAGAAGGAAATAGCAAACCTCTCCAGTATCTTTGCCAAGAAAACCCCAAATGGGGCCATGAAGAGTTGGACATGACTGAAAAATGACTAAACAACAATAAATAATCTCAGTACTTAGCACCACACCTTGTACCCAGGAAATGTTGAATAAGTAACCGCTAGTTGGTTGAATTGACCTCTGTCGAGACCCTTAGAAGCAAGCATCTTTAATGGATGTTTTGAAGGAGATATATATGGAGGTTGAGAGAGGTGAGGAAGTGGAAGGGGATGAAAAGGCAGCATCTGGATCTCGTAAAGTGGAAACTCTATAGAAAGATAACTGAGGCTGAAATCACGCCCTTCTCTTTCTTAGGAAGGTCTAGCTTGGATGGTCTTCTGGATTTCTTCCTCTATCCCAGTTGCCCACTTTCTCTGCCATGGGGCTGAATGAGTTCAATGCTCTCTCCCCCTTGAGGGGTGGGTATAGATGGAAGGGAGGGAGAACAGACTTGGTTACTGCCAATAGGGGATAGCATACAAGCTGCAGAATTATTAGTATTTCAGAAAATCTTGCCTGCTTTTATTTGATGCAATTCTAGCAACCCTATGAGGTCCATTTCTTTTCATTTTGAGGTGGTGGGTATGGGAGTTTTGAGTTAGAAGTAACTGCTCACCCCACTATCTCATTGGCATCTACCTGCCCATTCTTCAAGGACCATCTCAGAAGTTATTCAGCCCTTCCAAGATGACTTTTCTGATTTCCCCAAACAGAAGTGGTCTTTCCTTCCTTGGATTTTCTTTTTCTTTTTCTTTCTTTCTTTCTTTCTTTCTTTCTTTCTTTCTTTCTTTCTTTCTTTCTTTCTTTCTTTCTTTCTTTCTTTCTTTCTTTCTTTCTTTCTTTCTTTCTTTCTTTCTTCCTTTTTAAGGCAATTGTGGTTAAGTGACTTGCCCAGGGTCACATAACTAGTATGTGGCAAGTGTCTGGTCTGAGACTAGATTTGAATTCAGATCTTCCTGACTCCCAGGCCAGTGCTCTATCCACTGCACCACCTAACTGCCCCTTCCTCCTTGGATTTTTCACAGAACATCTCCTATACTGAGCACATACTGTGATCATTTAGGGATCTGTGACTTCTTGAGTGGAACTCTTTCCACTGATTCCATTTACAATTCTTTTCTGCCTTTGTAGCTGGTTTCATGAGTTCCTGAGGTCACAACAATGACTCACCAGGCAGATAAGACTTCTGAGGATGAGTTCTTCTGCACTGAATTCACTAGGCTGCACCTCAGATAACCAGCCTATTCTCAAGCATGCGTTTTAGAGCTTAATGAAATATTTTTGAAATCAAGTGAAGACCTGACTTGATGACCTTTGGAAATGCTAGCAGAGTATTTAATACCCACTGATGGGTTCTGAACCGTTCTAATTCTGAGTCCTGGTTTCTCTTTTCTGGACAGGTGCTGCTGGGAACATGACTGCTGCTATCAAAAGTTAGAAGGAAAACATGAATCCAAAATCCAAAATTATAGCTTCACCTACAAAGCAGGTGTTGTCACCTGTAGTAAGTTGTTAAAAATAATAATAATAGTAATAAGTAGCATTTATATAATGCCTGTTCTGTGCCAAGCACTATGGTAAGCTTTTTACAAATATTTTGTGATTTGATTCTCCCAACAACCCTAGCAGCTGATGCTATTATCATTTTACAGATGAGGACATTGAGGCAGACAGATATCAAATGACTTTTCCAAGGTCACATAGGTCATAAGTGTCTGAGGCCAGATTTGAACTCAGGACTTCTTGACAACAGGTCTAGCATGGTCTATCTACTGCACCATCCACTTACCTAGTTGGGGGTTTTTCTCTTCAGGTTGGTGAGCCTGAGGTCTCTTGCTCCTTAAGGTATAGCTTCCTCAGTAATTCAGTCATTTTCCTGAGGAAAAAAGTACCTTCTTCCTTGTATCCATCCCCTTCCCCCTCCCAAGAAAGGCACACTGGGGGTGTTTCATTCATCCATTTAATGCTTTATTTTGCCAGTCTCAGAAAAGGGTCTACTTGTCTGGGCTCAAGTAGGCTGGATTCATTCCTGGGTGCAGCCTGACCCCAAAGAGGAGGGTCAAGCTTTTCTCACACCCTTTCCCATGTTATCATCCCACCTGAGAGCTTAGATAGAACTCATATTTAGAGTATTTCCAGAAGTGACTTTTGCAGGGTCCCTTCTAGAAAAAGTAGTGAGTGAGCAAAGGAGGTGCCATGTATAGGATAGTTATTTAATTCTTCCAATACAAAAGCCAAAAACACTTTTTAAAAAAATAATCCAAGCCACACCACACTTATTCGGCTCTCCTGAGAGGTGTTTCAGGATTGCATCTCAGGACTGTACTGTCTGGACAGATCACAAAGTCCCTATCTCCTGGTCACTCAGTCATTGGTGCACCTCTGGGAAGACAGGAAGGCAATACCAACTCAGGACCTGCCGGACTTAAACTCGTGAGATTACAGCCAAGGCTGGAAATATGCCTTTCTCAGGATTGATCTTTGGTGAGCTGGCTTCAGGGAAACAAACACAAAACAAAACAAAACAAAACAGGTCAGATATTTGAGGTTTGATCTCATGCTCACTTAGACAAACAGTTATTCTCAATGCTGCGGACTTGAGTTGCCACTTCTAGAGATGGGGAAAGGGAGGGATGAGGTATCTCCTCCCCCCTTCCCTTTGCTAGAAGTCCAATAGTGTCGCCCACCCCACTTCCTGACTTGCTAGAAGTCCAAGGACAAGGTGGCTCTGGTTCTGTCCCAAAACAGGACAGACTAAAAGAGAGAGAGAGAGAGAGAGAGAGAGAGAGAGAGAGAGAGAGAGAGAGAGAGAGAGAGAGAGAGAGAGAGAGAGGAGAGAGAGAGAGAGAGAGAGAGAGAGAGAGAGAGAGAGAGAGAGAGAGAGAGAGGTTGGAGTCTTTCTACAGGTTCTTAGCCTATACAACCCCCCAGTCACTGGGCATATAAAGACCAATCAGGAATAATTGCATCATTTCAGCAAAGGCAAGTATCTGTCCTTCAACAGGATAATAATGGTGATGATGATGATAATAGCTAACATTTATCAAGAGTTTACTATGTGTCAGGCAATGTGCTAAGTACTTTACAATTGTTATTTCATTTGATTCTCACAATAACCCTGAAAGGTAGGTGCTATTATTGTCCTCATTTTAGAGATGGGGAAACTGAGGCAAAGAATGGTTAAGTGACTTACCCAGTAAAGAGTCAGAGACTGAATTTGAACTCAGATCTTCCCAACCCCAGGCCTGTTACTCTATTCACCTACCAATGCACATGAAACTTTTTTTTTCTGAAACTTTGTTTTTGTCTTTATTTTTGCTTTTATTTTTTGTTTTGTTTTGTTTTGTTTTCTTTTAAAGATCAGCCTTAACCCCAGATCACTCTGGTCCCTGACCAAGCCCTACTTGGTCACTGTTTGGGCTTTGATTGGCTCAGAAAACATATAAGTAACAATTGTTTCTGTGTTGGCCAGAAACCCTGAGGGTCTTCCCCTCCCAGGTCTATTTTTTTTTAAGAGGTCATTCTTTGCCTCATTTCTTTAAGCCTTTATCACTGAATAGGTGCTGCCTCAGTCAAACTGAAACTTTTTAAAGACTTTAGCTTGAAAAGGCCAAGGTCCACAACTGCATCCTTGGCCACTTCTAGCCTCCCGATCCATATTGGGCCACTGGACCCAGATGGCTCCAGAGGAGAAAGTGAGGCTGGTGACTTTGCACAGCCTTTCCTCACTTAAATCCAATTCGTTTACATGTCATGACATCATCTTCCTGATGTCATGGTCCTCTTCAAAAATGAAGGACAAAAAATTAATAAAAAATAAAATAAATAAAATTTAAAATTTTTAAAATTAAAACTAAATAAATACATACGTAAATAAGAATGAAGGATGAACATCAGCGAGTAAGCTCTGTACCAATGCACATACGTGTCCATCACCATGGAGCCAGACTGCAAGGTCAATGAGATCACTCTTACTACAGTTTATATAGTCAATAATTCATTTTTCATTAATTCTTTTTTTATTCAACAAACTTTTAAAAATGCATGGGATGTCCCAGTGAAGACTTCTCAGTGTGATTAAAGTGATGAGTTCAGAAGGTAGGATAGGGTTAAGAATAGATTTCTGTAAGTTATTTTTTAGTGCCATATATCAGTAGTTAAAATTTGTCTGGTGGTTAAGCCTTAACCTACTTTTTAATCTTATTCAGATGCATGCCTTTGCCCCTAAAAAGAATCTGGCTCCAGAAAACCCTTAAAAGGTTCCTTATCTACTCCCCTTATCTCCCTTTGACAGGACCTTACTTACTTAGATGCCTTCCCGTTCCCTTCATTGTCTGTTCAATCTCTCAGGCCTTCCAAAACAATTGTAAATTATCTTTTATGGTGGCCTGGTTCCACAGTACAAAGTCTAGCTGAACTGCACATTTTTAATTGCTTCCTTGACATTATCGCAACAAACTAAGAAATATAGAGATGTATACTATGTCCTTTGTCCTAGGTTAGAGTCTTGCACGTAAAATCGGGACCCAGTTAATGGACAGCTGGGGGGAGGGGGAATGTAGGCTATTTAAACTTGTGAGCCAGTTAATGGGGGGGGGAGAATGTAGGCTATTTAAACTGGCTTCTGTTTCTGTGTCGGTGTCTCCCCTCATCAGAGCATACTGGTGGAGGGGACACCCAAATCTCGAGATTTGAAATAATAATAATAATTATTATAATAATAAATTAATTTTCTGTTTCTCCTCAGACACCTCTGTGTTTTGTTTTATTTCTAATTGGAGTGGCATCCCACACAAAAATTATCATTAAAGGCCTACTAGGTGACTCAGTGGATAGAGCACCAGGTCTGGACTCAGGAAGATCTGAATTCAAATCCAGTGGCTGACACTTACTAGCTATGTGAAACTAAGCAAGTCACTTAATCTCTGCCTCATGTTCCTCATCTGTAAAATGGGAATAATAAGGGCACCTACCTCCCAGGGTTGTTGTGAAGACTAAATGAAATAATAATTGTAAAGTGCTTAGCACAATGCCTGGCATGTAGTAGGTCCTATGTAAATGTTAGCTAGTATTAGCTGTTATCATTCAAGAGAGGCCAAGACTCAAACCCTATCTCTGATGCTTACTAGCTGTGTGACCCTGGTCAAATCACTTCATCTTTCTGAATCATAGTTTCTCTATCTTTCTTTTTATTTAAATTAATTTTTGAAAAATTAACAAACATTTTTTTCTCCCTCTAACTTCTTCCCCCTTCTCTTCCCAATTAGGGGGAAAATATTGATAATATGAGTAATACCTACTCTTGATGATCAAATGAAAAAATCTATATAATGTATTTCATAGACCCTAAGACGCTATAGAAAAATCAGGTATTATCTTTGGGAATCATGAAGATTGATAAAATTCCTTATGTTCTTCCCCCTCTGATTTTCGTTCTGTTTTCTGTTTTTCCAGACGATTTGAACTTCTGTAAGGCTGAAAATTGTATTTGTAACAAGCTACTTGCTGAATGTTTGAAGAAACACGTGAGCAGCTTCAGCTCTGAATACAGAGGCTTTCCCCACTCCCGCTGAAGTGAGAAAAGAGTTCCGTGCCTAGCCTGAGCCTGTCAGGTCCCTTTCTTGTCCTTATCACTTATTTCTCCCCAGGCTTTCCAAACTCTGGGCTCCCAGAATCCTCCAAGATGGTCCCACATCTCAGCTGTTAACAAACAAACAAAAAAAGAGGCTCCTGAGATTTGGGGTGGGGGGTGGTAGTGATCATGAGACTTCGGGCTGGAAGAGGCTTTGGAAAGTATTGAGGCCAGAGGTGTCCAACGTGGGGCCCAGGGGCTGAACCAGATTAAAATGTAATTGGGAAATAGATCAACAAAACAAGTAAAATACAGTCGAATATCAATATTGTTAACGTGTGGTTTCCTACGTCATTATGCTGCTGGCACGGCTCTTTAGGTATGGTTTAGTGGCCCCACTTTTGATATCTGTTTGACCCCATTTACTCTAGTCCAAACTTTTTGTTTTATAAAGGAGGAAAGTGAAGTCCAGAGAGTCTCAGGGCCTTGACCAAGATCAGCAAGAAGAAGAGGGAGATTCAAGTTAACTTTAAATCCACACTCACTTTTACTGCTCCTCAGAGCATGTCAGAGCTGGGAGGGCTCTTAGAACACAGGATGTCAGAGCTGGGAGGGCCTTAGAACACAGGATGTCAGAGCTGGGAGGGCTCTTAGAACATAGGATGTCAGAGCTGGGAGGTTTCTTAGAACACAGACTGTCAGGGCTAGGAGGGCCTTAGAACATAAAATGTTAGAGCTAAGAGGAACTTTAGAACATAGTGTATCAAATCTGGGAAGGCAGAATCACAGAGCCTCAGAGTTGAGAGATAGGCTCAGATGATGTACTTTAGAAGCCATCTTGTCCAACTTGTACAAGAACGAGAATTCCCTCTATAACACCCCGAACAAATGGTCATCTTAGCCTTAGCTAGAAAACCTAGAGACAGAGCCTTGCCTACTTCTCAAACCTGTCCATTCCCTTTGGGATCACTCTGATTGTCAGGAAGTTTTTCTGTACATTGAAACAAAATTTTCATCTCTCCAACTCTCCCCCCTTGCTCCTAGTTCTTCCTACTTCAGTAAAAACAAACAACAGAACCAGACTAATCTCTATTGCTCATGTCAGTGAGACTCAAGTTCCTTCAATATTTGAAGAAAGAATCACTGTCAGAGAGATCATAAAGTATCTCTCTCATTTTATAAATCAAGAAACCAAGTCCTTGAGAGAGTAAGAATGACTTGGCCAGAGTCATATAGGCAGGCAGAAAACGGTAAGTAGAATACTATGACCTGTAATCTAGAACCCAGGTTGCAACCCCCAGACTCATCTTTCCACCCTACAATGCTCAGCTCTATTACACAGATGGAGAAACTGAAGCCTAGAGAATTTTGGACTAAGCCAAGCTATGAAATTTTGGAGTAGATAATGAGAGAATCTAGATCTCCCAGAGATCACATCCCTTATTTTACAGGGCCCAGGGAGTTAAAGGAACTCACCTAGGATGACATAGATAGTAAGCAGCGAAGACAGGGAACCAAAGAAAGTAGTTGCTTTTACTTCACAAGTGCAGGAGTAGGCAACAGTTTGTCTGGAAACGATCTGGGGGTTTTAGTAGACTGCCAAATCCAAATGAGTCAGCAATGGTAGGAGGCAGACAGAAAAGCAAGTGCGACGGCACATTAAGAGATGCTCAGCTTCCAGGAACAAGGAAAGGACAATCTCATCGTCTTGCTCTCGGCAGAACATGTCTGGTGTGGTACGTGGTCAGGGATGTATCTGAGCAAAGATTCTGATAAAGGTTTAGAGGAGGGGGTCTGGAGCAGGGCAATCGGGATGAAGAAGAGTCTCGAGTCCAGGTCCTAAGAGGATTGGCTGAAGGAACTTGAGATGTTTTAACCTATCCAACAGGAGACTTGTGGAGGACACTGGAATCAGCTACAGCATTGATCTCCTTGGCCCCAGAAGGCAATGGCCAGAACTTGCCCCTTTTTAGGCTCAATAAACTTGCTAGCAATGAGAGCGATCCCAAAGTGGCATGGTCTGCCTTGGGGGGTCATGCCTCACCAGTATGTTCCCTGTGGCCCCCATTCCATGCCTTTGCTCTTGTCATCCCCTAGACTTGGATTGCCTTTCCATGTCTTTTGATTATGTCCTCCAGGAGGACAGCAAGGACCATATTTGTTGAATTCCATTAGAAAAGAGCTTACATCAGGGGCAGCTAGGTGGCACAGTAGATAGAGTACCAGCCTTTGAGTCAGGAGGACCTGAATTCAAATTTGGCCTCAGACACATGATACTCACTAGCTGTGTGACCCTGGGCAAGTCTCTAGGCTTCAGTTTCTCCATCTGTGTAATGGAGCTGAGCACTGTAGGATGGAAAGACAAGTCCGAGGATTGCAGCCTGGGTTCTAGATTACACATCATAGTACTCTACTTCCAGTTTTTCCAGTCTATATGACTCTGGCCAAGTCATTCTTACTCTCTCAAGGACTTGGTTTCTTGATTTATAAAATGAGAGAGATACTTTATGATCTCTCTGACAGTGATTCTTTCTTCAAATATTGAAGGAACTTGAGTCTCACTGACATGAGTAGTAGAGATCAGTCCGGTTCTGTTGTTTGTTTGTTTTTACTTAAGTAGGAAGAACTAGGAGCCTTGCCAAAAAAATAAATAGCTTACATCTTTTTAGTGCTACAATATTCTTGGGAGGTGGGGTTATTATCCTTATTTTACAGATTAGGAAACTGAGGCTCAGAGGGGTTGAGGGATTTTCCCTGGGTTCCAAAATGAGTATTTTTATGCATTAAACAGTTGGGACTTAAACCTTGGAATCAAATTCTGGCCTTGTTATTCCAAGACCAGTGATCTTTCTACAACACTCCACAGGCCTAGACAGACACACAGACAGACCCAGACCAGACAAAATAGCAAGGCTTCTCAATATGACACTGTCATTGAGCAAGAAGTATAGCACCTCCTGAGCTACCTTGAGTTTGCCTTTCTGTGTCCCCAGAAACTGATCTTCCCAGGGGGTTGCCTTGAAGGGAGAGAGTCAATATGGTACCAGGAGGGTACTATGGAATAAACTCAGAGACTTGAGGAATGGGTTTAAGATCCTGCCTCTGATACTACCCACAACATACATGGATTGGATAGGGACAAGAGTTGTACCTGTGCTTTTATTCGTACAGGGAACTCTCAGAAGAGGAAACTCCTCTACCAATGCAGGTCAATACCTTCTCTGCAGCTCTACAACTCTGCAATATATCCGTGTTTGTGTGTGATTTTATACATATATACACATATCTGCATGGATGTACATATGCATATATGTATACAAATATACATATATCTTCATGCATGTGTGTGTGTGTGTATATATGAGAGAGAGAGAAAGAGAGACATCCATATGACATCCAGACACATCCATGCACTCACATGCACAAAACCCTTAGCCTGCCACCAGGATAGACAGTGATTGCTGTGGGCGGGCAGGGCCAGGTCAGCTTACCACTTGGCATTTAAAGAAGCCAGATCAGGACTTCACAGATGAGCAGGGGGTTGTAGGCTTCTTGCACCAATTCCTTTTGTACCAGCGAATCCAGCGATACTTAGAGTGGTATGTGTTCATCTCTTTGCGGAGACAGAGGGCAATCTCTTTGTCACACTCACAACTCTTCCTTTCACACCATTTGTTGCCACCTGTTTGGGAAAGAGGAGGTGGAAAAGTATGGATTCTAGACTCTGGCTGCAGAATCAGGCTTACCCCTCAGGAACCTCTGGAATTCTGTCTCTTATTGGAAGCCTTCCCCATTACTTTAGAGATTCAGCTTCCTTTAAAAGAAAATAGCTGTACCCTTTTTTCTTATTTTTTTTTCTCCTAGATGTTACATTTTTGAGGGGAATTAATTTCAACTTCTCTTTTTTGGGACACATTATACATTGAATACTACAATTATAAAGTTTAAAAACCATTGAAAGGTAATATAAAGGGAAAGCTGTAGAACATTGGCCTTGGAGTCAGGAGGACCTGAGTTCAAATACAGCCTCAAACATTTACTAGCTGTGTGACCCTGAGTAAGTCACTTACCCCTGATTGCCTACCCCCACTCCCAGAAAAGGTGAAATAAAAACCATGTTTCTTGGCCCTTTATCCCTTCTGTTTCTTCAATGACAGAGTTGGAATAGTGGAACAGGATGCAGACAGTGCAGCTCTTTGACATCTATAAATATGAATGTTACTTAATCATTCACAGTTTAGTAGTTAAACTAGCTTTCTTGTTGTTCATCAAACATGATTTTTCATTTCCTGTTTCCATGCATTTACATTCTGTCCTACAGTGCTTTTCCCTCTTCACCTCTGCCTCTTGGAATCCCTAGATTCCTCCAAAGCTTAGTTCAAGGACCAACTTTTACATGAGGCCTTTTCAAATCACCCTGTTTCTAGTGCCTCCTGCCCCAAATCACCTGATATTTATTTTGTACATTTTTTTTCATATATCCTTATTTATATACATGCTATCTCATCAAGTAGAATGTAGGCTTCTTGAGGGCAGGGTCTGCTTGATTTTTAAAAAGTCCTTAAACATAAAAGGTGATATCATAAGCAAATTAGGAGAGCAAAGAAAAGTTTACTTGTCAGACCTACGGAGAAAGGAAGACTGTGTGACCAAACAAAGATAGAGAATGTTATGAAATGCAAAATAGATGATTTTACACAAACAAAACCAATGCAACCCAGATTAGAAGTAAAGGAGAAAGCTGGGAAAAAATTTTTACAGCCAGTGTCTCTGATAAAGGCCTCATTTCTCAAATATGCAGAGAACTGAGTCAAATTTATAAGAATATAAGTCATTCACCGGTTGATAAATGGTCAAAGGATATAAACAGGCAGTTTTCAGCTTTGACTGGAAAAGTCAAAGCAATCCTATAGCCATGAAAAAATGCTCTAAATCACGATTTATTAGAGAAATGTAAATTAAAACAACTCTGAGGTACCATCTCATACCTATTATATTGGCTAATATGACAGAAAAGGAAATGATAAATGTTAGAGAGGATGTGAGAAAATTGGGACACTAATGCACTGTTAGTGGAGTTATGAACTGATCCAACCGTTCTGGAGGGCAAATTGGAAGTGTGCCCAAAGGGCTAAAAAACTGTGCATACCCTTTGATCCAGCAATACCACTCCTAGGTCTGTATCCCAAAGAGATCACAAAAAAGAGAAAAGGACTCACATGTATAAATATTTATAGCAGCTCTTTTTGTGGTGTCAAAGAATTGGAAATTAAAGGGATGCCCATCAATTGGGGAATGGCTGAGCAAGTTGTGGTGTGTGAATGTAATGGAATAGTATTGTGCTATAAGAAATGAAATCAAATTATTTCATAAGAATTGATGAGCAGGCGGATTTCAGAAAAACCTGGAAAGATTTGCATGAACTGATGCTGAGTGAAGTGAGCAGAACCAGAACATTATACACAGTAACAGTAACACTGTGCAATAATCAACTATGATTGACTTAGCTCTTCTCAGCAATATAATGATCTAAGACAATTCCAAAAGACCCATGATGGAAAATGCGTCCACCTCCAGAGAAAGAACTGATGGAGTCTGAATGCAGATTGAAGCACAATATTTTCACTTTTTTTGTTGTTTTTACCCCCCCCTTCTTCTGTTTCTTTTTCACAACATGACTAATGTGGAAATATGTTTAACATTATTGCATATGTATAACCTATAATCAGATTGCTTGCCCTCCTAGGGAGGGGGGAGGGGAAGAAGGTGGGAAGAAAAATTTATAAGTCAAAATCTTTCAAAAAATAATATTGAAAATTGTCTTTACATGTAATTGGGAAAAATAAAATACTCTTAAAAATCTTTGTATGTCTAATGCCTCTCCATGTATTGGCACATGTTTGTGACTATTCAGTTGTTTCAGTCATGTCTGACTCTTCATGACCCCATTTGGGGTTTTCTTGGCAAAGGTACTGCAGTGGTTTGCCATTTCCTTCTTCAGCTCATTTCATGGACGAAGAAACTGAGGCAAACAGGGTGAAGTGACTTGGTGGTGATGATGATGGTGACAATAGTGGTGATGACATTGTTATCAATGGCATAGGCGGCATTGGTGGTAATGATGATGGTGATGGTGCTGGTATTAGTGGTGGTGGGGGTGGGGATGATAGGAATGATGATGATGATGATGATGTAGTGATGGGGATGATGATATTGATGGTAATAGGGTGACAATGGTGATTATGTCTTTCTCAATCCCATTTCCTGTTATATTCTGTTCATCTTTCCTCATTCTACATTAGATTGAATCTGAGACACATGGCCCAGATGATTAAGTATTCTAGAGCTCTGTGCATTCTGAGGCTCAGAATCATGCTGTGTAATTCTTAGGGGCAAGTTTCACTGTCCTGTTTTACTGGACTGGAAAACTAAAGGCAGAGAGGCCAAAGAACTCATCCCAAATCCTACAGATAATTTCCTCTATAGAAATTTGGGGATGGAGATGTCAAGGGCTCAGGAATTGTCTCTCTGCTTCTGATAGAAATGACATTGGACCTTACCAAGTGGCCTGGTATCATGAGGATGTTTCTGGCACAAGCGGATGTCCCACCTGACACTTTAGCCTCTAGCCATTCAGTGATCGACAGATTTAAGGATTCTCAAAGCTACTCACCACAGTGGATTTGCCCATTGCGGATGCTATATTTATACGAACTCAATTTGGCTAAACATTTTTTTTCTTTTAGCTTTTCATAACAGCAGTCATGAACTTGGCAGCACCTGTAGGGAGAGCCAGAACTCTTGTCAGGCATGGCAGACCCAATACCCTGCCACCCATGGCACTGAGCTCTAGTCCCCAACACTTAAACCCCAGCACAGTCCTATCCACGGGATTTAACCCACATCCCCAGCATTTCCTCCAACTAACTCTGATATTCATTTCCTGTCTCTGATGCTTAGCTCCCATTCCTGATGCTTAACTCCCATCCATAGCATATAGTTATCCATTTCCAGACCATTTAGACCCTATGCTTTATACTTAAGCTCTGCCCCCACAACCGTAACCTAGCTCTCATTTCTAGCACTTGGTCCCCATCCCTGAAACTTAGCCCTCCTTATCCCCAACACTTAGCCGCGATCCTTTGTACTTAACCAATCACCCTCACATGTAACATACACCCTTAGCACTCGTCAATAATGGCATCCTTCATCCTCCCTGATACAGTTCCATCAGCACTCATTTCCAGCACTTAGCTTCTGTCTGTGCCATTCATACCCCATATTTGGAATTTAGCCCACTACCTACCTTAACCTCCATCCTTAACACATCTGGAAAATTGGAAACCTATCCAGGAAATATGTCCTTTCCTTGTTTCTCATGATTAGAGACTTTTGTGCTTTCTAAGGGTGTGAGGTTAGTGTTGTCACTTGGGCCAAAGAGTGAGGAAGAAGTACTTCTGTCCAGTGCAGAGACAGATGAGTAGCTTTCTCTGCTCCTTTGGAGGGTTAAGCAGACCGATCAGTCAGTCAGCCATTCAAAAAGCATTATTGAACCCTTACTGTTTGCCAGGCATTGTGCTAAGCACTAGGGATACAAAGACAGGCAAAAACACAGTCCCTCAAAGTACTCAAAAATTAAGCCAGCATTTCTGTGGATAGGCCCTGGTTTTAACTTATTATTATACCAAGTTTGTATTATAAGCTATATTTTTAGTAATGTTTTCACAAGAGCTCTGTGACACAGATTAAGCAGGTGTAACCTTGGGCAGATCATGTCCTCTGACTCAGTTTCCTCATCTTTAAAATGAGAGGGCCTCGGGCAGCTAGGTGGTACAGTGGATAGAGCACTGGCCCTGGAGTCAGGAGGACCTGAGTTCAAATCTGGCCTCAGACATTTGACACTTACTAGCTGTGTGACCCTGGGCAAGTCACTTGACCCTATTGCCTCGCAAAAAACCAAATAAACAAATTAAAAAAAAAAAAAGAAAATGAGAGGGACATACTGGATTATCTCCAAAGGCCTTTCTGGAGCTAGTATTCAATGCTTCAAGGCCCCTCCTAACTCTGACATTCTATGTCCTAAGGACACTTCTAGCTTTAACATACTACGTTCTAAGGTCTCTTCTAGCTCTGATATTCTGTGTTCTAAGCCCCAGACCTGAAATTCCTTGTCCTAAAGGCCCTCTAAGCTCTGACATTCCACATTCTAAAGTCTCTTCTAGCTCTGACATTCTGTGTTCTAAGCCCCAGCCCTGAAATTCCTTGTCCTAAAGGTCCTCCAAGCTCTGACATTCCATGTTCTAAAGTCTCTTCTAGCTCTGACATTCTGTGTTCCATGGTCCCTTCTAGCTATGACAGCCTATGCTCTAAGGATCCCCCCAGATTCAGCATTACATAGTCAAACTATGCCCAGTAGGCATCTCGAAGTCGAGTTTGAAACAGAATGAATTACTTTTGCTTCTAAACCCACCCTCTTTCAAAATTCCCTGTTACTGTCAAGGGGGTGACCATCCCTCTGGACACGGTCTAACAACACTGGCATCATCCTCACTTCCTCTCTTTCGATAAGCCTGCACATCCTTGCCAATAAACTGCCAATCCTTGTCCTCTCTCTACATTGTCCCTCCTGTAGGCCCATTTTCCCCCTGGTTTGGGCTCTTATCACCTCTTGCCTTTGTGCCTAATTAGTCTTCCTGTCTCACATCTCTCTCTCCGTCCTGCACAGTGATCTACCCAATACACTTCAGTGGCTCCCTATCACCTCCAAGATCGAATATGGTCCTCTAGTTGGCATGTAAAGTCCTTTCTTAGACCTCATTCCCCTGAACAAACTCTAAGCTCTACCAGCCAGTTACACCGACCAGCCTACTGTCCCATGTATATAACATTCCATCTCTCCTCTCATACTCTTTTTTTTTTTTTTTGGTGAAGCGATTGGAGTTAAGTGACTTGTCCAGAGTCACACAGCTAGTGAGTTTTATGTGCCTGAGATGGGATTTGAACTCAGGTCCTCCTGACTCCAGGGCCGCTGCTCTATCCACTGCTGCCCCTGCTCTCATACTCTTTCACTGGTTGCTCCTCATGTCCCTTGTCAACTCTCCCTCAGCTTCCTTCAGCTTCAATTTCACCTTTCTTGGTCATTTGCCCTTTCCACCTTCAACCTCCTCTATGTTTAATGCCTCCTCCTCTAAGGTTACTTTTCATCTTGACTCTGTAGGTAGACAGCTAGGTGTTATTGTAGATAGAGTTATTGTGGGCCTAGAGTCAGGGAGACTAGAATTCAAATTCAGCCTCAGGCACTTACTTGCTCTGTGATTCTTACTAGCTGTGTGACAGTCTCTGTCTCAATTTCCTTAAATGTAAAATGAGGATATAATAGTACCTATATCCTAGGATTATGAGGGGTAGCTAGGTGGCCCAGTGGATGGAGAATCAGGTCTGGAGTCAGGAAGACCTGAGTTCAAATCCAGCCTCAGATACTTAGTAGCTGTGTGACCCTAGGCAAGTCACTTCGCTCTGTTTGCCTCAGTTTCATCTGTCAAATGAGCTGGAGAAGGAAATGGCAAATCACTCCAGTATCTTTGCCAAGGAAGCTCCAAATGGGGACATGAAGAATCTGACCCAATTGACTGAAAGGACTCAACAAAAACCTCAGATTGTTGCTGATAAAAGTGCTTACTTATCATTTCTTTAGTAGGTGCTTAATAAATGCTTGTTTCCTTCCTATGTATTGTGTAAGTATAGAGCTGTTTCCCCCATTAGAATGTAAGCTCCTTGAGGAATGGAGTTCTTTTTCCTTTTTCTTTGTATAATCAGCAATGATCACAGTGTCAGGCACACAGGAAGTGCTTAATAAAAGCTTATTGGTGGATTGATTATCTAAAGTCTTCCAGCTCTGACATTCTATGTTCTAAGACTCAGTGCTTCTTCACTTTTTAGAATATGGGAAAAGGAGACAGAGAGGTTAATACTCTTGAATTACTGGTAGAATTATCCATGTCCACAAGCCAACTGACTGGATTATTTGCTGATTTCTAGCTTAGGGCTTTCCCTGAAGTACAGCTCTGATGCCCTTGCTCTCCCTCTGTCTCTGTCTCTGTCTCTCCATTTGTATCTCTATCTCTCTGTCTCTCTCCCTCTCCTCTTTCTGTGTGTCTCTGTCTCTGTATCTTTGTCTCTCTCTGTCTTTGTCTCTGTCTCTCTCTCTGTGTTTTTATCTCTCTCCATTTGTGTGTCTGTCTCTCTGTCTCTCTCCCTCTCTCCCTCTCCTCTTTCTGCGTCTCTGTCTCTGTATCTTTCTCTGTCTCTCTCTGTCTTTGTCTCTGTCTCTCTGTCTCTCTGTGTGTCTGTCTCTCTCTGTCTCTCTCCCTCTCCTCTTTCTCTCTGTCTCTCTCTGTGTGTCTTTGTCTCTGTCTCTCTGTCATAGCTGGGGGCAATAGCTCCTGAGGAGCAGCTGCTACCTTGGCTGCTCTCGCTTAGTGTGAAGAAAGAGGAAAAGTTACCCATCAGAGGCATCCAGGGGCTGTCCTTTGCCTCCCCAGCCACAGAAGCAGCCATAACTGATGTAATGCGTGATTGGCTTCCCAGTCATTTTCTTGATCATCTTCCTCAGCTGGAGCAGATCTCCCCTGGTAGGGGAAATTAGCCCTTCAGAAAGAGAGGGTCTGGTTAGGAAGGAGACCTCAATAAGCTAGGCTTAGCAGTCCCTCCCTCCCCTGGCCATCTCATCATCCTCATTTCTATTGACTCTCCAATACAGGCTTGAAGGCTCCTACCCTGATCCCAATCCAGCACTTAATTTATCCCTGCTTCAAGAGCCTCGGGACCAATTCTTCTCTAGACCTATCACCAGGCCCTCCTCCTACTTCCCACCATGTTCCTTCCCTCTTTTAAAACCAGACTCAAAAACTTGCCACCTCGAGGAATTTTCCCCTGATTACCCCATCCTCAAGGCTCAGCTATTCAACCTCTTAAGACCAGGGCTGGGGAATCCTCAGCCTCAAGGCCACATGTAGCCCTGTAGGTCCTCAAGTGCGGCCCTTTGACTGAATCCAAACTTCACAGAACAAATCCCCTTAATAGAAGGATTTGTTCTTGGACTCGGCCAAAAAGCAGCACCACACGTAGGCCACAGGTTCCCCACCCCTGTTAGAGCTTTGAAATGAGTTTGTATCATTCTAGCGAATGGTTGTTCTGCACTTACTAGTTGATACATTTATTTGTGTTGGCTCTTGACTCCTTTCTCTCTCTGTCTCTCTATCTCTATCTCTGTCTCTGTCTCTGTCTCTCTCCCCTCCCCACCCACTAGGCTGGGACCTCCTCATTTAAGGTCATAAATAATATCTCCATCTTTTGTGTCTCCTCCAGGTCCTAAAAAGGGCCCTTAAATTGATGGTATTGCTTGAACAAAGAATTTCTCCAGCTGTAGGGCAGGAAGGGACTTTATATCATTGAATGTCAGGGCTGAGAGGGCCCTTAGACCACAAAATGTCAGAGCTGGGAGAGCCCTTAGAACACAGAATGTCAGAGCTGGGAGGGTCCTTGGACCACAGAAAATCTAAGTTGGAAGGGAACCTAGAACACAGAATATCTGAACTATAGGAGAACTCAGAGTATAGAGACATGGAAGAGAATTCAGAATATAGAATACCAAAGTAAGAAAAAGACAGAACATGGATGTAGGTTAGAGTTTTGAATTCCAAAGCTGGGTGAAGGAAGGGAGCAGGTGAGTGGAAAGAGAAAAAACAAACAAGTGTGTTTTGGGTCCCTAAATAAGACAAATCATTGACTCAACCTGTTTTGTTCCCCTAAGGAAAATAAAATTGATGAGACTTTTGTTTGAGGTTCCTACAAAAAGCTGAATGAATGAATGAATGAAAACCAAGGGGGTGGGGGAAGGTCTGTATGAAACAGACTGCCTCAGAGGGCTCCCTCCCCCACAGCCACCATGACAGAATGAAGATCTCCAAGTGGATGGAAAGGCTTCAAAGACGCTTAGAAAAGCAATGGATTTTAAGACAGCAAATCCAGGTTCTGAATCCTCCCTTTGACATTTACTATTTGTTGGGCAAGCCACACCCCCTCCCCAGGTCTCAGTGTCCTCCTCTGTAAAGTGAAAAGGTTAGATTGGGTGTTCTCTGAGGTCCTTTCCATTCTAAATCCCATGACCCCAGAACGATCACTAAAGCAGCCTTTTAGGGTCTCCAATGTCCATAGCACCCTTTAGGAAACAATCCTGGAATGGCATCAGTTTTGGGGATCTGAGCACCTTTACCCATCTTCTGTGATGAGCTCAGCTCGAGCATGTTCCTGTCTTATCGTAGTGGGTAGTGTAGTGTCATAGACCAAGTTCTAGTCCCACCTTTTCCACCGACTCTGTGTGCAACCTTGGTCAAGTCAATTCCCCTCTTTTGGCCTCAGTTTCCTCACATGTCAAATGAGGGGGTTAGATGAGACAATCTCTAAGTGTCCTTCCTATACTAACATTTTTATTCTTAGAGCCCTCTTGGTTCTGACATTCTGTTCTAAGGTTCTTCCAAGCTCTAACATTCTGTGTTCTAAGGCTCATCCCAACTCTTACATTCTATGTTTGGTTTTTTTTTTAACATTCTATGTTCTAAGGCCCCTACCAGCTGTCACATTCCCTTATATTCTGTGTTCTAAGGTCTTTCCTAGCTCTGACATTCTATGTGCTAGGGTCCCTCCTGGTGGTGGAGGGTTGACAGTCACTACTTTACCATAGTTTCTTCACTCAGACCCTCGTTTAGTCAAAAGCCCCAGAAAGCCCCATGCTGATCTTGGAGGACTGGTCTCCCAGGAAGAGTGAGGGGAGGAGGAGTGGGCCTCTCCACACTTACCACAAATGATCAGTGCAGCCAGGCCAAGCAACAGTAGCTTCATCTTGGGGATTGATCTGAAGGGACCTCCAGCTCCAGTTCCTCCTCGCCCTTGTCCGCTGTCGGCCTCCTAGATAAAGGCTGTGGGACTTGGTTCTTCCTGGCAGGCAAGGCTGAATTTATAGTCTAGGTGAAAAAATGATTCTCATGAAGTGAATGTGACCTTTCCTACCAGTCCAAATGGGATTGGTTAGTGCTTAGAGCTAGGAGACTCCAAGCTCAGGTCATCTCTAAGATAAAAGGCAAACTCCTTTGTTTGGTATTTAAATCTTGCTCCAGGCTGCTTTCAGACAGATTTCCCATTTTACATTTCCCATTATGTTTCTCCACGTTGTTGATTATATACAATTGTATATCTTTGCCCAGGCTGTTCCCTGTTTCTGTAATGCTCACTATTTTTTCTTCCTGACTGCTTAGAATCCCTAGAAATTCTTCAAGTGTGCCACCTTCTACGTGTGATTTTCTCTATCCAGTTATAAGCTGCTTCCCACCCCATATTACCTTGTACTAACTTGGTGTGAGTACACACACACACACACACTCACACATACACACTATATATATGTAATTTTTAATTTTTAAAAATTTATTTTATTTTAATTTATAGAATAAAACAAGCATTTCCATAACAGGGTACAATAAAAAGTGATTGCATGTGAAACTGTAAATCTCCTATGAACAACTTGCTATTCTTTTCAAATACACAACAAAATTATCTTGTAAATTTCTTTTTTCCCCCTTTTTTCTTCCCTTTCCCCCCCACTAGAGGTAGTGAATTTATATACACATATATGTATCTACATGTATTTTCCAACGAATATTCATTGAAATGAACCCAGTGATGAAATCCATAAATCCATGGATGAATCTGAAATGAATGAAAATTCATCCAGTGAATGAATGAATGAAAACTAATAGAGAAAACAGGCCTATGTGAAGCAGGCTGGCTCTACGTATACATGGATACATACATACATACATACATACATACATATATATTTTTAAAATTTACTTATTTGTGTAAATGTTGTTTCCTTCTCCCCTTCTCCCTCATCCTCCACCCCCACCCCCAGTCTTCCTCCCTCCTGGTCTAGCCTTCTACTTACCATGCTATGCTATAAGACAAGAAAACCGGGGCTTTTGCAGTCCCACAGGTCAGTGCCTGAGGAACCCGAGACTTTGAGACTTTATTGTATTTGTATCCCCAGCGCCTAGCAGAGTGCCTGGCATACAGTAGGTGCTTACTAAATGCTTGTTGATTGATTAATTGATTGGTGCCTTGAGGGGAAGAAAGGTGAGAGGCCCTGCCACCATTCCCATTTGACCAGATTATGGCAGGATCACCGAGTTTAAGGCACAAGGAGTCAGAGGACCTGAGTTAGAATCTTGACTCTGCCATCTGTTACCATTGCCATCACAGAAGAGTCATCTGCCTTCTCTAGGCCTCAGTGAGGTTCTGGAAAGTCCGCTGGAGGGAACAGAATTGGGTAATCAAGGTGAGAGCTTCAGAGGTCATCTTGCCGGTGAATTGGGCACCGCTGGTAAAGAATTACTACCGGTGGAATGCCTGGGGCCAGAGATTCTAGGCAGTTCTGTGCTCTCCAAGAGGATAGAGGGATGAGAGGTGGGGGCTGATAAGCTGCAAAAAGCTTCTGTCCTCTAAATCAGCCTCTGCCTGTGGCAATGTTAGAAATAGGCTTGACACCAAAAATTTAGTATCAAGAAAATTTATTATAAAGAAAGTCCAGAGGATTTAGACATTTCTGGCCAGAAGCGGGCTCCACCCCTCTTCAGGAGGGGTGGGCCCTGAGTGCAAGGGAAAGTGTGCTTTTATGCAGTTGAATGTGGGCGAGAAACCTCCCAGGCCGGGATTGGTCCATCCCTTCCCAGGTTACACCTTTCCTAACATGTTTCCCCTTGATGTGCTCAAGTATGTTCCCCCTCCCTTGGTCATACGTCCCATGACTCGTTAATGAGGCTCTAATTTTATTCGGGGTGTGTCCGATAATAGTAATGAAGTTCATTAAGCAGGTGCACTAACATTTTTCAGGTGTCCTCGGGTTGACCCTAACTGGTCTGAGCTGGCTCGACCCGTATCTTGATTTTGGGGTCTTCTTGAACAATCCACTTACTTCCTATTGGTCAAGCCCAGCCCACCTACAGTGTGCCACCTCCTGGGACCTTTGTTCTTTAAATCTCTGCATTATTCTACCTATGGAAACTTAAGCCCTTCTAACTGTAACAGCAAACACAGCATTATCTCTTTCAAATTGTTAGGGAAAGTCAAATAGGAAAGAGGAGATCAGGCCCTCTCCATTCCCAAGTTTCTTATTCTGGGGTTGGAATAAAAGGAGGAAGAGGAAGGCACTAGATTAATGTGGGGCTCAGCATAATAGGCCTTAAACCTCACAGGCTTGTAGAATTTAGAGCTAACGTATCACCTAGCTGCTTGATCTTAGCCCAACCTTCTCATCTTACCGGTGAGGAAACTGAGGCCCAGGCAGAAGAAATGATATGTTCAGTCAAGGTCCCATGGGAAGTAAATAGCAGAGCTTAGATTAAAATATCTTCTGACTCCCAACCCAAAGCTCTTTTGGCTACACTGACTTACACTGCTTTCAAAGAGGGTATAAATTCACCGAAATCCCTGAGGCTATATAATTCCCCAAAGAGGTCTCTCTTCACATGTAAAGTAATAATAATGAAGATCTCATTGAAGGGCTTCAAGCAAAGGCAGTATAAGTGTGTATCAGAAAAGATGGGAATGTAGTATAAATAAAAGCCACCAGATTGGGAGTCAGAGGATGTGGATTCTAGTTTCTGCCAACCACCACCTGTGTAACCTTGGTCAATTAATGAAGCTCCCTGGGACTTCAGGTTCTTTCTAACTCTAAATCAAAGGCTCCTTCCCACTCTGGGATTCTATGAAGTAAAAGATCTAAATTGAACGGATATTCAGTGTTCATGGATGGGGCGGCTTTACATAGTAAAAATGACCATACTCTGGATTTGTTTACAGAGTTAGTGTAATCATCAAAAGAGCACTTTGCTTCGTTTGAATTTTTATTGATACCTTTTGTCTTTACATAACCTTCTTTCCCCTATTACCTTCCCCCTTTCTGCTACCCCCATGTATCTTTTAAAACAAATAATTTTTTAAAATTAAAAACAAAATTAGTTCAGTAAATCTAATCACTATCAATGCTGTATTCACAGGCCTCACCTTAGCATAGAAGAGATACTTTTTTTTTTCTCAATGCATATAATATGGAAAAACGAATGGGCATGAATATCAGGGCATACTTTTGGGGAGAGGAAGGGGACAAGCATTTTATAAATGCTTGCTGTGTCCTAGGCACCGTGCTAAGCACTGTACAAATACTATCTTATTGGGTTCTCACCGCAACCCTGGGAAATAGGTGCTACTATTGTCCGTATTTTGTAGTTGAGGCAACTGAGGCAGACAGAGGTGAAGTGACTTGTCCAGGGTCACACAGTTGGAAAATGTCTGAGGTTGGATTTGAACTCAGGTCTTTCTGACTCCTGGGGCCACCTAGCTGAAACCTGAAAACATCGTAGAGAAGTTCTCCTCAGAACTATCTGCCCCTGGACATAAATAAATAAATGAATAAATAAATAAATAAATGAACAAACAAACAAATAAACAAACAAATAAATAAAACAAAGCGGACTGCCAGGGAAGAGCCTGGACTCCCCAGAAATGTTCAGGCCAGGGGCCTAGCTGGCAGTGCTGAATGAGCTGCTACAGAGGGGAAAGGGACCACTCTTTTCCTCTCACTTGCCACTGTCCAAACTCTGGGCTTTGCAGGGAGTCTCCGTCATTGCCCATCCTAAAGTGCCCTGAAGCCAATGATGCTGGCCTACCACCCTGATGGCTGGGGGAGGGAGTCTTCCTCTGATCCAAGGCTGGGAAATTATCTGATGGGGTTGCAATGTGCCCAAGAATCCCCTTTTAGGCAATGACCAGTTTAGGGTGTTGGGCAGGGAAATGACTCTCTTCTCATCAAGGGCTTTTACTCTGTCAGAAGTTAGCCTCAGTGCCCTAGAGGCCTGGATAGATGTACAGAAATCCTGCATAGATTCAGTGAACTGATTACAACCCCTCAACAAGCCTTCCCCAAAGCCCTAACTCTATGCCAGGCCCACAGCACTGGTGATAAAGAGACAAAGCAAAAACCAGCTTTTACCCTCCAGGAGCTCACATTCTAATGGGGAAAATGACTGTCTGTGGATAGGTACATTCAAGATAGATGCAGGATAACTGGAAGACAGCTTTCGAGGGGAAGGCTCTTGAAACTGGGGAGGAGCAGGGGGGACTGGGAAAAGTCTTTTTCAGCAGGAGTTGAGTTTTGAAGGAAGCTAAGGAAACAAGGCAACTAGGTAGCTCAGTGGATAGAGCACTAGGCCAGGAATCAGGAAGATCTGAGTTCAAATCCAGCCCCTGGGCAAGCCACTTACCCTTATTTGCCTCAGTTCCCTCATCTGTAAAATGGGCTAGAGAAGGAAATGGCAAACCACTAAATAAAATAAATTTTTGAAACGTCGTGTCTTTGCCAAGAAAACCCCAAATGGGGTCACAAAGAGTCTAACACGAGTGAAAAAAAATTGAACAACAACAACAAAATTAGAGCATGAGAGGCAGAAGTCTAAGAAAGTAGGGTGGTGGCTATACGAGTAGAGAGAAGGAGAATGAGAGAGAGCAAGAAGCCTTTATGTCATTCTTTCCTTGTCCCAAGAACTTTACTAAGACCTAGGGATACAAATACAAAAGCAAAGACAGTTCTTGGCCTGAAGGAATTTATAATCAAGGGGGAAACACCTCACATGGTAGCGGTGGCTAGCCAAGCGCACTTTGATCTGGAAAATTACAGGAATGTAGAATAGAACCATAAAGCAGTAGCTGGCCATGCCCCATCCAGGGACCATGGTAAAGTTGACCCATTATGGTTTATACTTCCAGAACTGGAGGGGCTCAGGGATGAGTTGGTGGAGTTTGTTAGAGAGGAGAGAGTGTGAAGTGAAAGATGGCCAGGGATTTCTTGAAATGGTCTTCCTGGGAGAGTCAATCAGGAGAGTGGGGCCCCAGAGTAGACCATCTCCAGGAGATAATCTCAGGATGTTGGATATGATGAGTCAGAGGCTGTGGAGGAGGTGGCCTAATAGGAAAGAATGATGGGGGAGATGTCCTGCATGTAGAAAACACCGAGTTTTGGCAACTGATTCTTTATATGAGGTGAATGGAGATGAAAAATGAAGGATTACACTAAAGTTGTGTTAGGGATGGGTTGGTGTGGGGTGGTGAGGATCTTGTTGCTAGAGAGGGAATGTGGTATGGCAAAAAGAGCACTGGTCCTGGAGTTTCTCAAGAACTGAGTTCAAATCTCACCTCTAATACCAGAGACAAGTCACTGATTTCTGAATCACCCAATCTGTTACAGGGGCAATAAAGACACCAGTTGTAACTTAGCTATCTTCCAGCATCAAAAGAGAATCTGCAAATCATCTTACAAATTCTTGAAGCACTATAACCTGACCCTATTTCCCATCAGCTGCCCTGCTTCTGTGTTCTTTGGACCTCTCCAACATGTCTTCCTCCCTCAGGAAGCTCATCATTGGGAAATGCCATTCTGTAGCCCTTCACATCTCATCAGGACCCTCTCTCCCTTCTTGGACCCTCTGACTAGAGGGCAGGGCCATGGGCTCCAGGGCCTCTGTTTAAAGACAGGGCTCATTCTTAAGGGGTAAGGCAGAGGCATGAGGGAGGAAAAGAATTTGGAACTCAATGTTTTAAAAAATGAGTGTTAATTAAAAAATATATAATTGGAAAATATTTAACAAAATGAATATAAACATTTAAAATGAAAAAAGAGGGACATAGCAGAGTTCCCCCACCCCACTTCCCACCAGCTGCACTGATTTTGGACTTCTTTGGAATGCTCCACCTGCCTTCCTTCTTCAGAAAACTCATCTCCTCTGCCCTCTCCCCCTTTCTAGCTTTCTTTTATGTGTTGTTTTCCCCCATCAGACTGAAAGCTCCTTGAGAACAGGGACTGTCTTTATTTTTTAGGGTAGTTTTTTGGTGTGTATATCTGTGCGTGTATTTGCATCTGCGCTATACTTAATATAGTGCTCGGCACACAGTAGGTACTTAATAAATCTTTATTGACTATTGACCAGCTATCATTATTACAAAGTGTCTTGTAGGGTTGGGAGGAATCATGACCCTGTGGAGGATGGTGGGGACCATTATAACTATGGGAAAGTTGCCTAGCCTGGCTTTCCCAAGGTAGGTAGTGAAGAGTATGTCTGTTTGCCCCCTCCCCATTATCTGTAGCAAGGAAGCAGAAGGGAGAGGCTGCTCCTAGAGCCCAGGAATGAGGCACCCCAGGCCTCAATGTAAGATGTGACAATAAAACTACCCATCTAGTGGTTCAATAAACAGAGGAGAGCTTGTGTATCTGACTAATCATTGATCTCCCAGAGAAGTGACCTTGGGTGGCCACACACTTATTCTAGGGAGGCTGATAGTACTCAGAACAGATCATTGATCATAGAAAGTCAGTACTGGAAGGCCCTTAGCATAGAGAATGTCACAGAATGTCAGAGCTGGGAGAGCCCTAAAAACAGAGAATATCAGAGCAGGAGGGACCTTAGAATGTAAAGTATGAGAATTAGAACCCAGAGTATCAAAGCTGAGAGGGCCCTGGGAACCCAGGAAATCAGAGTTGGGAGAGCCCTTAGAATAGAGAATGTCATCATATCTGGGACCTAAGAACACAGAATGTTAGAACTAGAAGGGTCTTAAAACACAGAATGTCAGAGCTGGGAAGGCCTTAGAACCCAGAATGTCAGAGCTAGAAGGGCCCTTATGGAAGGGCCCTTACCCAAAGTACCATGAAATCTAATGAGTTTACTGCAGAGACTCCAGTCTATTCTGAAGAGTGACTTCTCAGAACCAGTGTATAGGCTCTATTTTTTGTTTGTTTTTTTAAAGGCTTCCCGGCAGAGTTAGAACCCCATCCTGGGCTCTCTTCCCACTAGGGATATAGGAGGGCCTCGTTCTAGCATTTTGGGTTCTTCTCTTGACAGAGGGACTTCCATGAGAAACGGTAGGCCTTCTGGTAGCTAACCAAGTTTCGCTGCAGGCAGAGGGCAAGCTCCTTGTCACACTGGCAAATCTCCTTCTGACACTGGGTCCTCCCACCTGATAGGAAGCCAAAGACAAAAAAAAAACTTGGAATAGGCTCTGCCTACATTCTATTATTCTCCCCCCCCCATCAGCCTAAACACCCACCAACAACACCATAGGCCTCAGTACCAAAGAGAATGATGCTTTCTGCTCTTGGCTTTGGGACCTGCTGCCTCAATGAATGCCGTTGTGCTCTCACTGGGGACACCCTCCAGGGTTGGGAGGAAGAACCTCATGGGCTTCTAAAGTTAAAGATATCCAGGAATGGAATGGCCTGTTTTCAGGTGCTGAGCTCCCCATTACTGGTGAGAGTCAGAGTCAAATGACTGGGATTTCTGTGGTCTCCCAAAATCAATGCTCTATTTTCATATTTTGGGGAAATGCTGTTGAGTCGTTTCAGTTGTATCTGACTCTTCACGACCTCATTTTGGGATTTTCTTGGCAAAGATACTGGAGTGGTTTGCCATTTCCTTCTCCATCTCATTTTATAAATGAGGAAACTGAGGCAAACAAGGTTAAGTGACTTGTCCAAGGTCACCCAGCTAGTAAGTGTCTGAGGCCAGATTTGAACTCGTGAAAAGGAGTCTTCCTGGCTACAGGCTAGGGGCTCCCCCTTAGTCGCCCATTTGGGAAAATATCACCACTTAAGAATGAGGTAGCAGATACTCAAGCTTTAGCCAGAGGTTGTATGACCCCAGGCAAGTCACTCAGCCTCCCTGGGTCTCAGTTTCCTCATTTGCAAAATGAGGTCCTACTAGATCATCTCTGTGGTCCTTTCAAACCCTAAAGCTATGTGCTGGCTAGGTGGCACAGTGAATATACTACTGGGCCTGGAGTCAGGAAGACTTTGTTCAAATTCCATCTTTAACACTTATTAGGTGGGTTATCCTGGACAAGTCACTGATCTTTGAATCTTGGTCTCCCCATCTATGACACCTGTAGTAACAATTATCTTCCAGGTTCAAATGAGATAGTCTGCAAAGTACCTTGTAATTCTCTAAGTGCTAATAAGAGATACACTAGCTCTCATTATCAGTGTGATCCTGGAGGTATCTTGGGTAGGCTTGGAAGGAATTATGACCCTATGGAGGATGGTGGGGGCACATTAACCATGGGAAAATTGCCTAGCTTGGCTTTCCCAAGGTAGGCAGTAAAGGGCATGTCTGCTTATCCTCTTCCCATCATCCCCAGCTAGGATACAGAAGGGAGATGCTACTTCTAGAGCCCAGGAATGACATTTAATAACTTAAACAATGAGGCTTTAGACCTTTAAGGGACCTTAGAGGTCATCTAGTTCAAACCTCCTCATCTTACTTATGGGGAAAGTGAGGCCCACAGAGAGGAAGTGGTTTACCCAGTAGGACAGAGCCAGGATTCAAACCCTTCTCTAGGCCTAGGTCTTCCCTTGCCAAATAAGAGTGTTGGAATACATGATCCTCCAAGTTTCCTTCCAGCTCTAGAACCTTTTAGTATGTAACTACACAATCAGTCAGGGTCCAGATGAAGGTTAGGTCCTTGATGTACCATCTAAATGATGAGGATGGGATCTAGACCCCAGAAAGGAAAAACCCTGGGCTTTCCCACATGGCCAAATCTCTGGCATTCCCCTCAGGCTATAATTCCATCAACTGGCCTTTCACTGTGGCTACACCCAATCTGCCCTCCATTGTCTTACCTCCCTATGGCCACCTGCCATTTCCCACACTTAATCCTAGCTAGGCTCCATTGTCCAGGTCCCAGGAGTTCTGTTCACCCCAGTTTACTGGCTGATCCCATTCAGATCTTCCTCAGACCCCTCCTCCAATCATCCCAAACTACTTGGCCACTCCTAGATCCCTCCTGCAGTCTTTCTGTATATAAGGTCCATTTTGTCTCCATTAAGATGCTTAGATTCTTAAAATCTAGCCAATAGCTTACTAATGTTCAGACTCCTTAAGAGTCTGCCCAATGTGACAGATGTTCTAGCTTGGGTCGAATTCTTTTGAGTAGGACCTGCATGTTCTGATCTTGGGGTCCCAGCACCCGTAAACCTCAACATAATCCCTCGGGACTAGGGAAACCTTGGACCAGAAACTCACAGCACTTGATGTCGCCGCTGATAGAGCTGTAGTTGTACCTGTCCACGAGGACATGACATCTCTGTTGCATTAGGCGTTTGTAGCAACAGTCGTGAATCTTGCAGCACCTAGGCAGGGAGAAAAGATGGGAGATCAGACATGAAACAGCCTGTTGGCTTTCTCCAGCTTTCCCTCAATTCTACCGTTGCCACTGCCCACTGAACTTTGGGAGAGAGAAGTGACACCTTAATGATTGATCCCCTATCCCTAGTAAGAAAACTGGCTTTAGGTTCCCCATGGGGGAAAGGAAAGGCATGTACCAATATGAAGCTAATGCCTTACCCTATGCTTTGATATCAGAGAATAATGGAATCATAGAATATCAGAATTTTAAGAGACCTTGAGACACAGAATGTCAGAGCTGGGAAGATCCTTAGAACAATGAATGCTTGACTTGGAAGAGGCCCTAGAACAGAGAATAGCATAGCAATAGAAAGAAGTGGTGAAGGAATATCTTTTTTTTTAAACCTCTCAAAGTGAGGTTTGGAAGGGAGGAAACAGCTTCTTAATCTCCTCAGATTAGAGGCTTTGGCTGATGCCTTTTGTCCTGAGATAACACTGTGTGTTGTTTGTCCTTCATTCTTGAAGAGGACCCTGATTTGCAAGTGACTTGGATTTAAGTGAGCTAGGGCCAGACAAAGTCACCAGCCTCACTTTCTCCTTCAGAGCCATCTGAGTCCAGTGGCCAGATATAGATCAGGATACCTGGAGATGACCCTATGGCCTGAGATATCAGCTCAGGAGGGAGGGCCCAATGTGAGCACTCTCTCCTTTTTGGGCCTGAGCCATGGACTTTATCTGGGCTACAAGGATCAGCCTACTTATGTGTGGAGAGGCTCGTCACTAGCAGTAAGTCTAGAAGGGGATAAATTCCCATTACGGCGCAAACTCTATGGAGGTAGGGACTTAATAGGTGCCTAATAAATGCTGACTGACTGAATTCTGTGGCCATAAAACCCCTTGAATTAAAGTTGAATTGGGCTGGCTGAGGACTATATAGAGATTCTATGACTCCACGATGAGGTAGATGAGGTGAGCCTGGAAAGTTCTGTGAAAGGAGGTAGTTACCAGTCAGTTGCATCTTTGGGCTGACCTTTGCCCCCTGGTCCACAGTAGCATCCATAGTTCAGGTAGCTGAAGACAGGATTTTTTCCTGTTGCCTGTTTAATCATTTTGATCAGTTGTATTAGGCTCCCCTGGCTTGGAACCATCCTTCCTGAAAGAGAAATGTTATGAGAATCAGTCATGGGGTTGGAAAACGTTTAACTTGGGGAAGAGAAGGGTGGGAAAGGGATGGGCACAAGAGATGTTTTTAGATATTTAAAGGGTCATTAGGAGGAAAAGGGACTAGATGTGTGCTATTTGTCCCCAGACGGTAGAACTATGCGCAGTGAAAGCTGTAAAGAGAAAATGTAAACTTGATGTTAGGAAAAACTTCCTAGTGGTTCCAGCTAGCCAAAATGAGAATGAGTTGCCTTGGGAAGGAGGCTTTCCCCTCCCTTGGGAGCTTCAAGCAGAAGAAGGATATTCATTTGTTGGAAATGGTACAGAGATAGGTGGATTTCTTTTTTTATTAATTTTTTTCACTTAAATCTATTTTTCTCTGCCTCTATCCACCCCACTGGGAAAAAAAAAAGAAAAAACAAAATTCTTGTGACATAGAGTCATAGTTATGCAAAACAAATGACTATATTGGCCAGTTCAAAAAATGTTATAATAATGGCCAGCACCCATATAGCTTTACTTAGGTCTTCTCATATATTCCTTACAATCACTCTGGGAGGTAGGGGCTATTATTACCCTCCTTTACAAATGAGGAAACTGAGGCAGATGAAGGTTAAGTGAGCTGCCTAGAGTCACACAGCTATTGCATCTGAGTTGGATTTGAACTTAAATCTCCCTGATTCAAAATCCATTATACTTCTTAGCTACTTATGTTTGCTTCTGCCTCTTGAGACCATCACCACTCTTTCAGGAGGTGAGCAGAACGCTGAGGTTCTCATACAGGTACAGGTTGGATGGTACTAGATGCTACCAGATGATCATGGAGGTTTCCTGGTTCTAGTGTCCTAGGGCTACACAAATGACCAAAATATTAATAAAACTTAAAATTAGCTTCTGGAACAGCTAGGTGGTGCCATGTGTTGGGCCTAGAATCAGGAAGACTCATCCTGAGATCAAATCTGATCTCCCACGATCACTAGCTGTGTGACCCTGGGCAAGTCACTTCACCCTGTTTGCCTCAGTTTCTTCTTCTGTAAAATGAGCTAGAGAAAGAAATGGCAAACCACTCTGGTATCTTTGCCAAGAAAACCCCAAATGGGGTCAACAAGAGTCGGACATGACTGAAAAACAACTGAACAACATCAGCAGCAAAATGGGAGATTGAGAGACAGTGTGAGGCAGTAGCTAGAGACCTAACATTGAAGCTAGAAAGACCTGAGTTCAAGTCCCCGTTCTGACACTTTATGGCTATGTGACGCCAGGCAAGTCACTGAATCTCTCATTGTTCAAGGCGACTAAGACCGTGTTACAGGGCAGGGAGAGAGCTACAAGTGGTCCCTCTACCAGGTCCATATACCAGTATGACCAAAAGTCCAGTACCTGTCCCTGGCTCTGTTGCTATCCTAAAATGAAACATGGATGCCAGGTGGCTTTGATGTTACAAAGATCAATTCAGTTCAGCAAAAACTTCAAGTACCCACTATGTGAAAAATGCTGGGCTGAATTCTAGAACTACCAAGTTTAGCTTGTTCTGCCCTCATGGAGCTCACAATCTAGCAGAGGGATATGAAATCTACAAAAATGATTACATCATCATGCAATAATTGCTTTAAGATGTACCCTCCCCCCCCAAACGCCGCTTGAGAGAGGAAGGTCCTTCAGGACTGGGTGATAAGGGAAGGCCTCTTCTTGCATATGGACAGCATTTGAACTGGGCTTTAAAATCTGATTAAGAAAAGGAAATAAGGTCTAAAGTAAAAACAGGAATAACTGCTTAACTGAAAAGCTCATAAGGGTGTATAAATGCCCTCCCTTAGCTTTGGCCAAAGTCACTCCCCAAGATTCAGCAGCATAACAGCTATATTCTTGGGCTGCTCAGCCTCCCAAGCTGAGCTCTGGGTAGAAGTGACTGGTGTTTGGAATAGTGAAGGTTGTTCATAGACAAAAGGAAGAGGAGACATCATTGTTGGTGGCTCTATAACATTGGAGGTGTAAGTCCTCCTCAGCCATAAGTTGTACCCTGGCCACATGGGTTCCCTTCACAAATGAGCCCTGGTCACACATATTCCCTGAATCTGGCCCCTCCCTTATTGATGGTGTGGCAATCTTTGATAGAAGGGATTCCTATTTGTATGGTTGAATTGTTCTTGACCCTTATTTTGCTGGGCTTTTGAATTAAATTATTTTGCTTTGAACTAATGTTAGTCAATAACATTTATTGAGTACCCTCTCTGTGCCAGGCACTATGCTAAGTGATGTGCATAAAAAGAGAGGCAAAGGACGGTTCCTGTCCTCAAGGAAGTCAACTCTAACAGGGGAGACAACAAAGAAACCAATATATACAAACTATATACAGGATAAATTGGAAATAATTGACAGAGAAAAGGCACTGAGATTAAGAGGGGTTGGAGAAGGCTGCCTAGGGAAGCTAGGGAAGCCAGGAGGCAGAGATGAGGAGGGAAAACATTCCAGGCATGGGGGGATACCCAGCCAGAGAAAATGCCAGAACCAAGAGATGGAGTGTCTTATTTGTGGAACAGCCAGGAGGCTCATGTCACTGGATTGAAGAGGGAATGTTGGGGAGTAAGATGTAAGAATAATGGAAAGGTAGGAGGGGGCTAGGTGATGAAAGTCTTTGAATGCCAGGGGATTTTGTATTTGATGCTTGAGGTGAAAGGGAGCCACTGGAGTTTATTGCATAGAGGGGGAACATGAAGGGACCTGCATTTTAGGAAAATCACTTTAGTTGCTGAATGGGGGAATGGAGTGGAGTGGGGATAGACTTGCAGAAGTCAGACCACCCTTCCAGCTGACCATTGCAATGGTCCAGATGTGAGGTAATAAGGGCCTGCACCAGAGTCGTGGCAGTATCAGAGGAGGAAAGGAGCCTTGTTCAAGAGATGTTGCAAAGATGAAATACACCAAGTAATGGTGGCTTCCATCTTGCATCCATGGAGATAGCAGGAGGAGGTAGTTCTGGCTGGGCCTTTTATTTTGGGAAAAGACTAACCTGGATGGCAGTTGGGGGGAGGAAAAGGGACTAGAAGAGCTACCAGTTCTTAGGGCCAGTTCCCTTTTGATAGACCTTACTCACCTGAAATAATAAGTACAACCCACAATAGTACCAGTTTCATGGTCCAAGACAGTCTTGGTATGGTCAGTCTGGGCTGTCTCCAAGCTGGATGGATAAGCTGTATGAACTACAGGCTCAGTTGCCCTGTGACCTTGTCCTGATGGGGGCTAGAAAAAAACCAAGGAAGAAAACCGAGCTATGAAGGTTTGGACCAGAATGGAAGGCAGAAGCTTCCCTCCTAAGCTGTGTGACCTTGGGCAGATCACTTAATCAATACTTGACTCAATTTCCTCAATCTCCATTTAAAAAGGGAGCTTAGCTCAGAACTGATTTCTCACCTGGTGCCTCTACTGTGGTACATCTTTGACTTCTCTATCTTGCCTCCTCCCTAGTCTGTTACTCTGTCCTTCCCTCCTTCCTTCCTTCCTTCCTTCCTTCCTTCCTTCCTTCCTTCCTTCCTTCCTTCCTTCCTTCCTTCCTTCCTTCCTTCCTTCCTTCCCACCCCCAGTGCTTAGCACAATGCCTGGCACGTAGTAGGTGCTTAATAATATTTATTGACTCCCTGTAAAATGGGAGCAATAATAGCACCTGTCTCCCAGGGTTATTGTGAGGATCAAACGAGCTAATATCCATAATACCCATTTGCAAACTTTAAAACCCTACGTAATCACTTGCTGCTCTGTTGGAGATGTCCTTCTTCCTGTGGCCCAGCCAAGCTTCTTCAAGGTTTCATAGATGCTTGGGGCAGGGATACAGGAGCCGTATTGGATTTCCTAGGATGGTGTTAACTTCAAGAAAAGAAAATGTACTTTACACAAACTATCAGAAAAGAACGCCGTCCACCATACTATGTGTCGCCACAGTTTAGAGTTTCAAAAAGATGTTCCATTCAATAATGATAATAGCAAATGTTTCAATTTATGTCTTAAAGCTTGTAAAGCACTTTGCATAGATGATCTCATTGGATCATTACAACATCCCTACTTTACAGATGAGGAAACTGAGGCTGAGGGAAAGGGACTTTGCCTAGGGTCTCAAAGCCTAATCTGGCCTTGAGGAATTCAAACCTGGATTTCCTCCTACATCATACTGAGGGCATTAGAAGCCTGGGGGACCATGTGGCAGACTGGAAATGACACTGAATTTTTAAGTCAGAGAACCTGGATGTCAATTCTTGCTCTGCTACCTTACACGTGTGACCTTGAACGGGTCCCTCCCCCTCCCTAGACCTCAGTTTCCTTGTCTGTTGAGGAAGCAGGGTAAAGTGGTAAGAAGGTCAGAGGGCTTGGGTTCAAATCCTGTCACTTATTACTTGTGTGATTTTAGGCAAGTCGATTAACTTCTCTTGGCCTCAGTTTATTTATCTGTAAAGTGAGGGAAATAGTCAAGATGGCCTCTATGTATGGTCTCTTTAGGCTCTAAACCTATGACCTGTGAAGGAGTTGGTTGAAATGATCTCTAAGTACCTTCCAATTCTAAAATCCTATGATCCGAATGACTGAATGGATGAGGAAGTGGAAGGGGGTGGTATAGCCTAATGGATAGCTGCTAAACTAGAACACTGGACATAGAGCGGAGAAATAACCATTTGGAGATCCTGGGGCTGTCTTGAATGAATGGAGAATTAGGACAGGGATGCTATGCTAAAGGCTGGGGGAATGAGAGATAGAAGGATAAAAGATTGAAGGTCTGGAGAGATGGAGGGAAGGGGAAAATAAAGATGGTTTCAAAGGATCTAGGAGTTTGGGGCCAAGGGGGAGATAAAGATTTGTGTTTGGAGTCCCAAAGGTAGAGTTCTGACTACGTTCCGCAGGCATCCACCAAACGTTTGGGATAAAAATAGAAACTCCTCAGTCTGCTAGTTATGGTCCTTCACAACAGACTGCCGCCTACATTTCTAGCCTTCTTTTCCATTACACCCCTTTATACTCTCTAAATTCACAGGGCCGTAGGTCTGGAGCTGGAAGGTACCGCCTCGGTGGCTACTTAGCCCAGTCCCTTTGTTTTACAGAAAATGAGGCCCAAGGAGGTTCAATATTCACAGGATAGTGGAGCAGGAATGGACCTCAGAGAACATTTAGTCCAACCTCCTCATTTGCCAAATGAAGCTAAGTGGGTTGCTTAAGATGAAAGACGTAGAAAGGTTCTGTGGCAGGATTGGAACCCAGATCCTCTGACTCATGGTGGCGGCAACAGCAGCAGCAACCTTGCTACAATATCACCTAGCACTCCAGTCACCCTGGAGTAAGCTAAGCCTTGATCGGTGTAAATAATGACTCCTCTGAAGTGGTCTCACAATTCAAATTCACACTGCATCTTTCTTTTGGGTTGGTATTAATGACCATATTTTTCTTTAAATAGCTTGATTTCAAACATATGTGACCACTTCACTGCATTCATTATTTGCTCTAATCAGAACCTAGTTGTAGCAATTAGTTCCTGCCTGGTCCCCTCTATCCCAAGAACTTGGATTTTTAACAGTGTGTGTGTGTGTGTGTGTGTGTGTGTGTGTGTGTGTGTGTGTGTGTGTTTGTGTGTGTGTGTGTGTATGTCTCCAGGACCCCCTGGGCAGTCTGGTGAAGCCAAGGGACTTCTCAGAGTGCTGCATTTTAAATGCAAAAATTAAAATGCAGAGGATTTCTGAGTTCAGATTCAGTCTCAGACACTTGACACTTACTAGCTGTGTGACCCTGGGCAAGTCATTTAATCCTGATTGCCTTGTCAAAAAGAAAAAAAACAAAAAGAAAAAACTTCTGGCTTTGTGATTCCGGGCAAGTCACTTCACTCCAATTGCTTCCCAAAACCAAAGACAAATAAAGCAAGTTCTTGGACTTAAGGTTAGGAACTCATCTCTAGCTTCCTCCAAGGCTTAGCACAACTGCTGATTGTCCTGTAAAACGTTGCCTAATGCCCCCAGTGTTCCCCTCTCCCTCTCTTCAAGTTACCTTATGTTTGCCAGTGTGACTGGATGTTGTATTATTCCCTCAGTAGAAAGTGAGCTGTTTAAGGGAAGAGCTCACTCATCTCTGTATCCCTAGCCAGGTGCAGCATAATGCCTGCCATGTGGTAAACACCTAATAAATGTCAGTTGAACTGTTGAATTGAACCCTGAGCACCCTCTGAACAAATACAAAGCTCTCAGCCCCTTCTAGTTCGTATCTCATTCACTCTGATCTCTGGGAAGGAAGAGCAGCCACTGATGACCCCGTTGTGCCAATGGAGCTAAACGAACGAGACATAGTGACTTTTCCTATCATTAGGGAAACGATGAACCTGGGACTGATTCTTCTCTCTCCTTTCCCCCGTGGTACAGAAGAGGCCCAAGAACAGAACAGAATTTTCTCACCTTCAAGGTTCTCCTTCCTCAGATGTTGGGGCTAGAGGCTGGTGGCCTACAGGTCTGTAATCTCCACCAGCTGGAGGCCAGTTCCCTTTATAGTCACTGACCCATCCTTCTCACTATCCCAGCTGCTTGATCCTGTCCTGGGCCCTTCTTGGCAACCAAGGAAGCTTGCTCTTTCCCCTTTTTCTGGGATACTTTTTAATGAGCAACAGTAGCTGTATTCCAGAAATGAGAAGAATGAGGGAATTTCCAGGTTACTCTGAGAGCAGCAGTGCTATGAACAGAAACAGAACTGGCCCATGGCCCAGACTGGCCCCAGGAGCAATATGCTGGCCTCGGAGAGTCATGGTGAGAAAAGGGAAGGACAAGAATGTCAGAGCTGGGATTGGGAGGAGGGAGGTTGGAAAGGGTCAGGGCAGTGGGGACCTGAAGTTTAGAACACAGAATATTAGAGCTAGTAGGATTTTAGAATAAGGAATGCTAGAGCTGGGAGGGCCCTTTTTTTTAAGGCAGTTGGGGTTAAGTGACTTGCCCAGGGCCACACAGCTAGTGTCAAGTGTTTGGTCTGAGGCCAGATTTGAACTCAGGTCCTCCTAACTTCAGGGCCAGTGTTCTATACACGTTGCTACCTAGCTGCCCCTGGGAGGGCCCTTTTAACACAAAGGGAGGGACCTTAGAACACAGGATGTCAGAGCTGGGAGGGCCCTTAGAACACAAAATATCAGATGTGAGTGTCTTTAGAATACAGAATGTCAGAACTGGGAAAAGGACATTGTAAGGTGGAAGGTCAGAGCTAGAAGGGACTTTGGAACATAGGATGTCAGAGCTGGAGAGAGATTGTTTAACTCACCCCTTTCATTTAAACATTTTTGGGGGTTATTTTCAAAATCTCCTTTTTACTGGTATCTTTTGTTTTTACATCACCTTCATTCCTGAATACATCCCTTTCCCTCCCTTACCCAGTGAGCCATGCTTTATAAGAAAGATGAAAAAGGAAAAAAGAAAAAAAAAAGGTCAGCAAACCCAAACAGAATATTAATTGTGCAATATCCCACACCCATGGTCCCACACCTTTGTGAAGAGAGGAGGGAGGTGTCCTGACTGAGCTCTTTTCAGAGCCAAGCTTGTTCGTTATCAATTTCAGTTTTATGTTGTTGTTTTTTTAACACCGATGTTGCTGGAACCATTGTATATGTTGGTTTCACAGTTCTTATTTTATTTTGCATCAGGTCATATACCTAGCCAGTCTTCTCTGAATTCTGCATATTTAAAAAAATTTTATGGTGCAGAAATATTCCATTGTAATCCCCCACCACAATTTGTTTAGCCATCCATCCAAGCCATAGGAATCTACTTTGTTTCAAGTTCTTTGTTACCAGGGAAAAGTGCTGTCAACAATAGTTTGGTGCGTAAGGGGTCTTTCTTTTTACCATTGATCTCCTTGATGTATATACCTAGCTGAGGGAATCTCTGAATCAAAAAATATGGATATTTTTGCTAAAATTTTAGCATAGTAACAATAATAATAGTAATAATTATATACCATTTAAAATTTGTAAAGTACTGTATATATACACATACACATATATTTATATTGCATGTACATAAACATATATATGTATATATATTCTAAAATCACTTACTCTTGTAGAAGCTACTGTAGCCCAAGAAGAGAAATGATTTGCTTGAAGTCAAACAGCTGTTTGGAATTGTCAGGACAAGGACCAGAAGCTAGTTTTCTGAGCCCAGCACTTTTCCTGCTGTATTTTACATTTCTCCAAATTCTGTTCCACTGGGAGAGAAATCAGTTCCAGCATCCTTGCAAAGGAGTCTCAAAGTTTTTCTCTGGCTTCGTCATTGGCCAGCCATGCCCAACACACTCTCTCTCTCTTCTTACTCTGGAAACCACCTCCACTTTCTTCAAGCTCTCCTAAATTCGTCATCTAAGTCTTTTCCAATTCAGGGATGCTTTTCAGGTAAGGGAAGGGTGGTGAGAGTGGTAGTGATGGCTGGGTCTTCTCCTAACTTCTTATTCTCATCTTCCTGGTATTGACAACCCTGATATCTGTAAAAAAACCCCAAAAACACAAAAAACATGACTGGAAGTTGAGAGCTCTCTGACAAGTTTTTGGAGGCTCCCTGTGAATCTTGGGAAGCTAGCAACTCTACCCAGTCCTGGAGTACCAAGTCCCAAAGGCCAGCGTGAAAGACACACCCCTTTTGTGCTTGTGAAGCAGGGAGCAAGTCTGTATGTGCATATCGGGCCGATTGTTGGCAACTTTGTTACTTAGGGCAACTGAATCAGTTCATGAACAATGGCTCACTATCGTGGCCCACGTGAGCAAACACGTCCTTTTGTGAAAGCCAGGGGTTATACTAGAAGACTTGGAATCAATAGAGCTGGGTTTGAGATCTGGCTTCATGACTTGGTGGATCCATGACTTCAGGCAAATCCCCTAACCTCCCTTAGCCTTAGTTTACTCTTCTGCAAAATGGGGATGCATTCATTATTTTGTTTTGAATGTCTATGGCATACACAATGCTATATTGAGCCCTGAGAGAGATACAAAGTTTAGATAAAATGAAACAGATTACAATCAAACGGGGGGGGGGGGGGGAAGTCAAGTACACAGGTATCTATAGAGATGGGGATGTTAGAAAGGTATAAAACAAAGTGCTATATGAGTAAAAAAGTTGTTACTGGCTGGGGCAATCACGGAAGGCTTCCTGGATGGCATTTGTTACTAATTTGATGTAGTGTTTTGGAATAAATAGGGATTTGACAGGTGAAGAGAGAAATGGGAGAACATTCCAGGCAGAGGAAAACAATGCAACCAATGGCACTGAGGTGAGAAAGTGCAGGTGTTTTCAGAGAACAGTAGAGTTTAGGGCATAGACTGTGTAGAAAGGAACATAAGGTTGGGAAGTGAGAGCCAGATTTGGAATCAGGAAGACTGATCATCTAACCCCTCAGCACCTTGCAAAGAGTTATTTAAAAAACAAACTGTCATGAGTTCCCAATTCCCTCTCCTTCTACCCCTCCTCTACCCAATGAAAAGACAAGAAATGCTATATCTAGTATACATAGAAGCCATGTTACATTAGCTATGTTGCAAACACACACACACACACACACACACACACACACAGAGAAAAACAAAGAAAGTTAAAAAAAAAACCACCTTCTTCCAGAAATCTGTATTCAGACTTCATCAGCTCTCCCTTTAGAGATGGAGAGCATTTGTCGTCATGGGTCCTTTGGAATTGTTATGGATCATTGTATTGATCAGAGTGGTTATAATTACAATATCGCTGTTTATATACAATGTTCTAGTTCTGCTCACTTCATTTGGATCAGTTCATACAAGTCTTCCCAGGTTTTTCTGAGACTACCCACTTCATCATTTCCTATAGCACAATAGTATTCCATTACAATCATATGCCACAAGTTGTTCAGCCATTCCTCAATTGATGGGCATGTCAACTCCTGAAATAAATCAAAGCCATGACTTGAGGAATAGAGTGTCTTTAATTGAGATAACAGGGCAGCAGACCTGCCACCCTGGGGGATAACCAGTGGATTTCCCAATTCTAAGACCCATGCAAAAGCTTCTTATGCTGTTAGGTAGAGAAGGGGAGGAGACAGTATGAGGTAGCGAGGTCTGATCCTGAGACCCCAGTGACTCTTGGCAATCTGGGCAAGAAAGCCACTTCATTCTAGCTGTCTTGCCCTTCATCCATGAATCTGAATGGAAGAGGGCAAGGACACCATTGGCTGAGATCCAGCTTGAGGTGGGCTCCCCATAAGGCAATACTGCTAGGTGGGGGGACCTAGGGTATTGTTCAGCTCAACCTAATCAAGAGTGAATATTTTAAGAGTAGGAATATAAGGACATTACTGAAATTCCGACATTACAAGAATCATTTAAAGGAGTAGCAGTCCATATTACATTTGGTATTAACAATTTCTGTCATATGAACAATTATATTAACAATTTTCTGTCAGGTGTCCCCTCAGTTTCTAATTCTTTGCCACCACAGAGAGTTACTATAAGTATTTTTGGACAGATGAGTCTTTTTCTTTTTTCCTTTTATCTCTTTGGGGTACAGACCTAGTAGTGGTCTTACTGGAACAAAAGGTATGCCCAGTTTTATAGCTCTTTGGGCATATTTCCAAATTGTTCTCCCGAATGGTTGGATCAGTTCACAACTCCACCAACCATGCATTAGTGTTCCTATTTTCCCTACCAACCCTTTAGCATTTGTCATCTTCCTTTTCTGTCATGTTAGCCAATCTGATGGATATGAGGTGGTACTTGAGAGTTGTTTTAACTTGCATTTCTGTAATAGAGATTTAGAGCAATTTTATATGACTATTGATAGCTTCAATTTCTCCTGAAAATTGCCTGTTTATATCCTTTGACCATGTATCAATTGGGGAATGGCTCTTATTTTTATAAATTTGGCTCAGCTCCCAATATATTTGAGAAATGAGACTTTTATCAGAGAAACTTTATATTTTTTTAAATTTTCCTGCTTTCCTTCTAATTGTGGCTGCGTTGATCTTGTTTGTGCAAAATTTTTTTTAACTTTAGTGTCATTAAAATTATTCATTTTACTTCCCAGAGAGCTCTTTAAGACTATGAGTTGTAGAATAGTAGCTATCTACATTGGTAGAGGGAGCTTTTTTCACTGAAAGTTCCTACACTGCTAAAACGGAAAATATAGATAGGAAAAAATGAAACTGGGAAGGGGGAGAGTAGTTGAGGGCCTTGAATGCCAGGGAAAGGAGTTTGTACCTTGCTAAGGAGCCAATAGGAAATCATTAAAGGATTTTGAGCAGAGGGGTGACAAGTGACAACTAGATCTATAGAATGGTATAAAGATAATTCTGGAAGTTTGTTAAGGATGGATTGAATGGGGGTGAGAGTGGAGGTAGGAACTCCTGTTAAGGAACTGTAACCTAGGTCTGTATCCCAAAGAGATCTTAAAAAGGGGGAAAGAACCCACATGTATAAAAATATTTATACCAGCTCTTTTTGTGGTGACGAAGAATTGGAAATTGAGGGATGCCCATCAATTGGGGAATGGCTGAACAAGTTGTGGTATATGAATGTAATGGAATACTATTGTTCTATAAGAAATAATGAGCAGGCAGATTTCAGAAAAACCTGGAAAGACTTACATGAAGTAATGCTGAGTGAAGTGAGCAGAACCAGGAGAATGTTGTACAAAGTAACAGCCACATTGTGCGATGACTAATATTGATAGACTTAACCCTTCTCAGCAATACAAGGATCTAAGACAACTCTAAAAGACTCATGACAGAAAATGCTATCCACATCCAGAAAAAGAGCTATGGAGTATGAACGCAGTTGAAGCATATGCTTCTCTCTCTCTCTCTCTCTCTCTCTCTCTCTCTCTCTCTCTCTCTCTCTCTCTCTCTTTCTCTCTCTCAATCTCTCTCTCTCTCTCTCCCTCTCTCTCTCTTATTGTTTCTTCTTTCTCATGATTACTCTGATTCTTCTTTACAACTAATGAGTACTTTACCAATTCTTCTTTACAACATGACTAATGTGAAAAAAATGTTTAATATGAATATATAGCTTATATTGGATTGCATGCCATCTTAAGAAGGGGACAGGGGAAGGAGAGGAAAAGGGAGAGAAAATTTAGAACTCAAAATCTTGTAGAAGTGAATGTTAAAAACTAAAAATAATTATTTAAAAAATAAAAATAATTAATTATTAAAGAAAAGAAACTGTAACCCAACAATGACCCAGAATGAGAATAGTTAATGATGGAGGCATTATGAAGAGCAGGCACACTAATACATTGTTAGTGGAGCTGTGAATTGGTACAAAATTTCTGAGAGGAAATTTGAAATTATGCAAAGAACATGGCTAAGATGACCATACCCTCAGACCTCAAGAGACCATTGCTAGGCATATATCCCAAGTAAATTGATGGCAAAAAGAAAGTCCTCCTAAATGCCCAAATATATATAGCAGCTCTTTTTGTGGTAGCAAAGAACTGGAAACAAAAACAAAGCTCATGAATTGGGTAATGACTCAACAAGTTTTTTGGTATATGAATATAATGGAATACTCTTGTGCTGTGAGAAACCATGAATATTATGAATAAAGAGAAGCATGAGAAAACATAAATGAATTGATGCAAAGTAATGTCAGCAGCATCAGGAAAGCAGTATCATAATGACTGCAATAACATCAATGGGAAGAACAGCGAGAACAAAATAAAAACCGAGTGCTAAGAAATTATAGTGAAGGAGCATGAGCTCAAGGAAGGGACAGGAGAAAAAAACCTGCTTTCACTTTTCTGTAGAGGTGAGGAGAAGGACAGATGGGGAATGCTGCATAAAATGTCAGACTTTTTAGTGTTGGTTGGTTTGCTAAACTTATTCCCCTTCTCGAGACCCACCTCCCTGTTTTTTATTCTTTGTTGTAAGGGATTCATCTGGGAGGGGAAGAATACATTGCAGAATGCAGGTGATACAAAAATGAAAGAGGAAAGTAACTATTTTTTAAAAAGAGACTCTTTAAATCTCTTTAAAAAGAAATTGATGCTATAGGAGCATAGGAAGTATAGTGGAGTATTGGATGACCCATACTAAACTGGGAGTAGAAATAGACAGGAGGGGATAGATGCAAGGAATGGATCAAAAAGAGGCAATGGGGAATAGGATATATAAACTAGGTGGCACAGTGGATGTAGCAAAAGACTTGGAGTTAGGAAGACCTGAGTTCAAATCTGACCTTAGACACTTGCTAGCTGTGAGATCCTGGGCAAGTCACTTCACCCTGTTTGCCTCAGTTTCCTCATCTGTAAAATGAGCTGGAGAAGGAAATGGCAAACCGCTCCAGTATCTTTGCCAAGAAAACCTCAAATGGGGCCAGAAAGAGATCTGACTGAAAGGGCTGAAGGATAACAACGATCATAGACAAGTCACTCAACCTCTCAAAGCCTCAGTTTCCTTGTCTGTAAAATAGGAATAATAATAGCACCTACCTCACCAGTTGTTGTCTGGACCAAGTGAGATACCGTATGTAAACTGAATTTGCAAACCTTTA